CACCGAGGACCTATCCACGTCATCATTTACACAGAATGCTTTGTGTGTAAATAAAATGGCTCCGACCATGTTAAAATATATATTTTTAAAATTTACAAAACTGAACAGTATTTTTACAGTCTTTATTTTACAGTTAAAATGTATGTTTATCAAATAAAGTCTAATGTTAAAACTAATCATGGATCCCTTTAAAGGTTTTTCCTCCAGTACATATCGACAGTACCAAACCAATTTTAATTCTGATGAAAATATCAAATTAAAAAATAATGCACATCATTAGTGAAAAGATATTTTCAAGGACATTACATTGTCAGTGAAAGCCTTTAATTTCATATTAAATTGTTTTGACAGAGCTCTTAACTTCGGTGGGATTGGAGTGGTCATGGGTCATGAGCTGACTCACGCTTTTGATGACCAAGGTTAGTATATCACAAAACAAAAAAGGGCTTTTTTAAAACTTTGTCAACAAATTAAAGCAGTTATTGGAAAATTCAGCAATATTTAATTAAAAAAAAAATTTTTTTTAAACAGGAAGGGAATATGACAAGGATGGGAATTTGCGTCCTTGGTGGAAAAACTCCTCCGTGGAGGCCTTCAAGAGGCAGACTCAGTGCATGGTGGAGCAGTACGGCAATTATAGCATCAACAAAGAGCCTTTAAATGGAAAACACACTCTGGGAGAGAACATAGCTGACAACGGTGGACTAAAGGCTGCTTACAAGGTCTGATGTCAATAGATAATCTGATTATGTAAATCTTTATGAGTATTTTTTAACATAAAAAGCTAACAAACAAACAGTGCTGTCTCAAAAAAAACTGATTTATTTTAAAAATAGGAAGTGTTTATTGTTTCATGTGGCAGCTGTGCTGAATTTCCTGGTTCTAAGGTCAGAAAACTGTCACTGGGTTTTCATCGATCCTCTGTGTCGTTGTGTTTCGAGTTGTTGTCCATCTTTACAAAGTTGTGTTGGAAAAAGCAGCCTGGTTTACAGAGAAGCCTGGAAATAYGACAGGTGGTTGTGTGTAGCCCTGTCAGCCTCTAGTTACTTCCTCACGTGCACACATTCTTTCCGTTTAATGAAAGGTCAGAAGCTACGACGCAGATGAGGAGGAAGTAGTATGAAAGCAAAAGTGAGCAAGCGAAAATAACACAACCTAAAACTCGACTCTTGGTTCTTTTTTTTTTTTTTGGTGTGCAAAGGTTTTAGGTTTGTTCATGTGTGGAGAGAACAGAAGGATTGCACATGTGTAATATGATCATTTATTGCGTTGAAGGCTTACGACAACTGGATCAGGAAGAACGGGGAGGAAGCCACGCTGCCTGCTCTGGGACTGACGAACCATCAGCTGTTTTTTGTCGGGTTTGCACAGGTTTGTGTCGTTTTTTATGTTAAAGTCGTTTCTAGGTGATTTTAAAGAAATCACAGCTTCAAAGGAAAAAAAAATTGTATAGGTCCTCTGGACGGGTTCTTCTTTAATGAAACTTTTCGTCTCTCCTCCAAGAGACTTCTTCAGTCTGAGAGTTTCAGGCAAAATTCAGGCTTTTATGTCCTGCCTCCAGGTAACTGATACTCACATCACATGGCTATCGTTCACAGGTGACTCATACTCACATCACCTGGCTATGGCTCACAGGTGACTGATACTCACATCACATGGCCATCGTTCACAGGTGACTCATACTCACATCACATGGCTATCGTTCACCCTAATTAATACCTTTTGTTAACAGGGGGTGGAGTGATACTGCCAATGGCAGCGCTGTAGCAGGGGGACAGCTGAAAACGGAGGCCCCCACCTCTGTTTAATGACGGACGGTCTTTCTTTACAAAAATGGCTTCTTTTACTCCTCTCTCAAACCAACGTTCCTCTCTATCAAGAATGAGAACATCCTCATCTCTGAAAGAGTGACCGCTGGCCTGTAAATGAGTGAAAACTGCAGAGTTCTGGCCACTAGAATTAGCTCGTCTGTGTTGGGACATTCTTTTGAACAGTGGTTGCTTTGTTTCCCCGATGTATAACTGGTCGCAGTCCTCCTGCGATAATCTGCTAATTCTAATGGCCAGAACTCTGCAGTTTTCACTCATTTACAGGCCAGCGGTCACTCTTTCAGAGATGAGGATGTTCTCATTCTTGATAGGGAGGAGCGTTGGTTTGAGAGAGGAGTAAAAGAAGCCATTTTTGTAAAGAAAGACCGTCCGTCATTAAACAGAGGTGGGGGCCTCCGTTTTCAGCTGTCCCCCTGCTACAGCGCTGCCATTGGCAGTATCACTCCACCCCCTGTTAACAAAAGGTATTAATTAGGGTGAACGATAGCCATGTGATGTGAGTATGAGTCACCTGTGAACGATGGCCATGTGATGTGAGTATCAGTCACCTGTGAGCCATAGCCAGGTGATGTGAGTATGAGTCACCTGTGAACGATAGCCATGTGATGTGAGTATCAGTCACATGGAGGCAGTGCTTAAAAGCCTGAATTTTGCCTGAATTTTGCCTGAAACTCTCAGACTGAAGAAGTCTCTTGGAGGAGAGACGAAACGTTTCATTAAAGAAGAACCCGTCCAGAGGACCTATACAATTTTTTTTTCCTTTGATTTTTTACCTGGATTACTGAGATGCATCAGGACAAATCACAGCTTCCTTTTTGTGTTGTTCTTGCAGGTGTGGTGTGCCGTCAGAACACCGGAGAGCTCCCACGAGGGAATAATCACAGATCCTCACAGCCCGTCAAGATTTAGAGTCATCGGCACCGTTTCCAATTCGCGTGAATTCTCGAAGCACTTTGGCTGCAAAGCAAACGCCCCTATGAACCCTGAACATAAATGTGAGCTCTGGTGATGTCAAGGGCTGTTGACAAAGGAGAAGGAAAGTGGACACTGAGTAAAGTACAAGAACCACTACCTGCCCTTGATGCCTTGCCTCTTAAAGCTCATCAGTCTCCGATTTAGGACGTGTGTCTGGTTTTTGTGGAAGATTTTCACGAGGTCAGCCTAAATGTAGCTATGAATGTTTGTTTTTTTTTTCAACACAAACTGACCGTTAAGTTACAAAACTAGGGGAACCACCTATTTGTGACCTGCTTGCTCATCATATAACAAGAAAAAACAATGTTCATTTATATGTGTGTGTGATCTGCTGTGCTTGGATCAACTCTGGTTCATTGTATTCTATGTATAGTTATATTTTTATAAAAGCTGTATACCAGGGAAATCTGAGGTCTTTGTTTTTTAAGTTGTACAATTTGTTTTCAATTTATAGTTTTGCCATTGAGACAATGCAGTATTTCAAAAAATATTTGTATAAAATTTAATGTAAACAGTGTCATACGGAACATAAACAGTTTCTAAGACGAGATGATGTCTTGTTCTCTGTTTTACAAGTAAATGATGACAAAATTATGCTGTTTAGTGAACTACCGTAAAACCAGTCCAGTCCAGTCCAACTTTTATTTGTAAAACACTTTTTTGCACCACAGCAGCCCAAAGTGCTGTGTACAGAATCGACAATCCAACACAGCTCCTGCATAAAACATATTCAATCAAAAAATACAGTAAAAACACAGAAAAAAATAAAAGCTGCAAGTAAAAACAGGACATATAAAACAATGAAATGCCTAAAAACATTTAATCTACAATAAAACCAAAAAAAATATACAAAAATAAAATCTAAAAAATAAATGGACAACACAGCCCCCTTCACCAGGGGTGCCCAAACATTTTCCCCGAGGGGGCCAAAATGAAAATCTATCCGTGGCTGCGGGCCAAATGCAGTTATATAATACATGAAATACAAATACTTTTTAAGTAAAGTCCTTTATTTTAAACGATTAAGCTGTGCAGTTGCCCTCTTTTGTTTTAGTCTGTGCACTTGGAGAAAGTCTGCCATATGCTCAAGTAGCAAAGGCTCATGGGACATTTCATAAAGTGATAAAATATGAGTTTTGTGGCCTTATAAAGTGTGCAAATCTACATGTGAGGTTAAATCTGATCTAAATATGTCTTGTTGTTATTTCTTGTTTCATGTTTAACCCTATTAAATCAAAGATATGTCAGCACCATGAATGAAAACTACCTTCACTACAGCCCTTTTATATAGTCATTTGACCAGTGGAAACACTGTGTTTCTACATAGGATGGGTTACAACCTTGTAACTTTGTCAACTGTTGGTGGGCCAAATCAATGGCTTGGCGGGCCCAATTTGGCCCGCGGGCCCCACTTTGGGCTCCTCTGCCCTACACATTTAGGTGTCACAGTTTATTCAGTTGTCTCATATTTTGTAACTACCTTTCTACCTTTCCTTGTAGAAATGAATGTCACCTGCAACCTTTTATTTCAAAGTTTTAAACTAAACCCCTCTTATAATAAGGTATTAAATAATTAAAGATGCGAAGCTGCTTGATGACCTGCAGGTGGCGCTGATAACACATTCTTGTGGTCCAACTGTGTCAGTGTTAGCACCGAGCATCACTGTTTATTTTCGAATGTGCAAATATTTGTTTTACCAGAAACGAAAGTGCGTCTCACTGCACATATTTGTATATTTAATAATGGAGCTGTTTCACTAATACATTGCACGTCGCTGCATTGCAGATTCAAATTTCGTTAACTAAATGAAATATTTACACTTAAATAATAACAAGCACTGAGGGAAATTTTAAAAAAAAAGAGGCACATGTCGTGCACGTTTCGGTACGTGAGGTACGCAGTGTGACTGTCTTTGATTGAAGGTTCGCCGATGAGCCGAGCGATTCCGTAACCGGCCGAGAATTGCCGAATCATCTGTCCTRCCCGGACTGCTGGAAGCGGCCGCAACGCCATGTTGGCGAAGTCTCTCATCTCTGTGAGGAAAAAAATGATAGAAAACGCAATTGCCGAGAAGAAAAGATAGATCGCCAAGGGAGCGTGAAGATCGCGGCGATTATTTCATTTGAAAGTAACGAACCGAGCCGGATCCGCTTAGGTTCCGGACGGGCAAGGGAGGCTAAACCTCCCCACCGTCCCCATGAATAGCACCGCTGATCCGAACAGCGACTTTCCATGAAAAAAAAAAAGACATTTGTGTTGCTTTTCGAGCTTCGTTATCCCAGTTCGTTAAAGGGACTTGGGGCCTGCTTCAKGATCTGCAACGCTTGCTATATGTATGCAAGCTAGGCTTTGTTTGTACCAGTATTTATTAAGGTATTGTTTTTATTTTTGGATTTTTTTGCGATGAGTTTGCCATCGAAAGTGGTCCCTAAGCCCGCCGCTGTCGCAGTTAGCGGACCTGGAAGTGGCCCCTCTCCGTCAAGCCAACTGCGGGCTACCCTAACCTCGGTGTCTCTGCCGCCGGGAGCCCCGACTGCTCCTCAGCCTGGCGCCGTACCACCACCGTATCCTTTGACATGGGTAACAAACTAAATGTGCGGAACTCCCGCATTGAATTGACGCTTCTGACAGTAACCCACAGCGCACTTTTATTAGTGGTAAGTAAAAGACGTGGATGTGTGGACGATGGTTTCGGTCGGAGGCAGCTGGGAGGGGGGAGCTAAGTATGCTAACATAGCTAATCAAGCCGGTTGTCCAAGCTAATTGAATTTGTGGGGGTTTGACGCCACTGAATTGCGTAAAGATGCGTTTGTAATTACCCATGCCTGTCGCCTAACTGTGGCAGCAGAGTATATCRAGAAATGAAACGCAATTTGATAGAGTAAAGCTCCCTGACCGGCAAGCTATCAGGCTTTCCACGCCGGTTACCGGCTTTGTTCAGTGCWGATTGTTGACTAGCAAGAAGCTTTAGCCGAGTTAAAGCTCCCTGGAAGCTAAACCAGAGACAGCCCCCTGTGGTTAGAAAGTGTCCAGGTCAGTGAACGCACCGTCGAGCTGAAGGGCGTCTTCCATTTCCACGTCCTGACCTGTGGCTGTGTGTAACAGAGCTAAAACAGGCTAGCAGGCCTGGTCCTTACTAATCTTTTTGACATATGAAGGAGTCGTGAAAAGTGGACTTGAGTTTGGATAGAGGTTTTTGGTTGCGTTACTGGTTTTTTAATGCATCATCAGAACTGGGACTTCTAAAAATGCTCCCCAGGCTATAACATCAAGTTTTATTATTTGCACCCCTGGAGGGGGAAATCTGTCAGCAAATACATGCAGGGTCTGCTCTTAGCATTGGTTTATTGTCATGGGATTGTGTTGTCATTGCCTCAAAATATACCTTTTACTTTAGATTTAACGCAGTGATGGCCTAACACATTACCCAATCCTACTTTTGGTGGAGTGAAGTCACTGCATCTGCCTCCTGTTTTATTTACAGCATGGTATCAGTTGTGTGTGTGAGTGTGTGTGACAGAAAGATGTGTGTTTTGTGATCTGGCAGCTTCTGGTGTGGCTTAGCTTTGGGTTGTGATGTCTTAACCTGATTTCCTGCCTCCTACGATCACAACCACTCTCTGTTTYTGACATCTGAAAGGGGCATTAAGTAGCAAGTAATCAAAACGAGTAAAATTACCATCTTTATCTGTCGAAACAAGTTTTCTMTTGACTACCGGATTTTTTAAATGACCTAAAATTTCCTGAACTACTTTTACTGACGTGCTGCTAGGTGTTTTGTATTGCTGAGTAATGCCTTCATTGTTTAAGGAACAATAATAATTAGAAATGTTTTTACTGTTTTGATTTAAGAGATTTATCTTTTGTATGCCTCTCAAGAGTCTGCAGTGCATTTGAACCCTTTCAAGAAAATTATTTATTGCTGTTGTGCCTGCAACATCGCACACAGCAAACAGTCATATGCAACACTTGATTACTTAATAAAACAGTCTGCACCATCTCTGAACACACAATTTGTCAAACACTAAAACGGATGAGCTACAGCAGCAGAGGACCACATTGGAAAGAGAACAAGAAAACTGAGGCAACAGTTTGCACAGGTTTATTAAAACTGCACAATAAGAGATTAGAAAAACAAACACTTCCTGGTTTGACGAGTCTCTGTAAATCTTAAAAATTAGGTTTTCGGATTTATTGTGTTACAGAAAATAAAAATGATTCCATAACAAATGAGATAGAACTGAATGTATATGTGACCCATCATATCGAAATGAGGATTGAGTCAAATTTGGTCAAAATGACCTCATTACGTTTTCAGATTCCTGGTTTTAAAAGCTACATTTTGACACCTGGATCATTCTGATATCATAATTAAATCCATATATATGCCTTAATTTGTCTTGTTGGTTACAATAGTGCATAAATATTTGGTCTGAATCCTAATTTGACGTCATCTTGAGGAATTTTTGATGTCCTTATAAAGGGGAAACCTCAAGTTATATTTGAATATTGAGATTTCCCAGCTAAAAATAAACAAAACTTTGCTAGCTCACAGGGAAAATCTCAAAATTTTAAGGCGTTTTTCCTCAAAATCAGGTTTTTTGTTGCTACTGCTCAAAAGAGTGCTCAAAATTTTGTTTTATAATTATATTTCAGACAGTTCATTCAAATGCTACATTAATAAGGCATTTATTCAGTATATTTTGACAAATTGCAATTTTTGTTAACATTTTAGTCAAAACACTATATTTGCCTATTTCTCCTTATACCACATTTGGACTTAATCCTTGTTTCGATGTGATGGGTCACATATTTACTTCTTTTATGTCAACATTATTTGCTCAGTTGGATTTGTTCTCACTTATCCTGCAGTGCACATGCTCTGAATTAGATGTATCTGAATTAAGTTCAGGGAGTGTTTAAAACAACTCAATTACATTGAATTTCTTTATTTGCAAATATTATAAAGTATTAGTTAATTGGCCATTTGATTTTTTTTTTATAACTCAAATAGAGGTCAGGCACAATTAATAATACACTACATTAATTTCTTTGAAATGCATTAGTGGTAGTTTAAGTCAGTTTTGTGGATTTGTATTTATTTTTGGTAAATGGGAAATATTTAGTGAAATGAAAGTACAAAAAAATCTTCGGTTACATTAGGGTGATAAATTTATTTAATCGATTAATTCGAATTTGCCATTTAAAAGATTTAATTTTGGGAAAATCAGGATTTTTAACCCACCGGTGCACTCTTTGGGGCTTCTGTAGTTCAGAGGTCACCCCACCTGTTCCTCAAGACACTTGGTACACGACATGACAATATGGCAGCTAGCAAAGAGGATCTACTTCCCAAAAAAGGCACTGTTTCTTCAGTTTTCTGGAACTGGTTAGGTTTCGCAACCTCGGACTTGGAGCAACAAACACCTCACTGCAAAATCTGTCTGAAGGCTCTTGCTACAAAAAGCAGGAGTACAACAAATTAGTTTCAACATCTGAAACAGAGGCACTCCGTTAAGTGGGAAACAAATTCAATTAAAATTGAATTTGGGATGTAAAAAATCAGACATTTATTTTTTGGGGAAAAAAATGGGATAACCAGCACTCCAAAAAACATCATTGTTTTAATAAGGGCAGAAAACAGGATGCGTTTCAGACCCAACCTGTTTGTGATTGGTTTAGGTGTTTGTTTGTTTTTTTACCTCTTTTATATAGATTTGTAGTTTGTCTGATCTGTAACAAGTCGACGATGGCATGTAGATGAAACGCGTCCTGTTTTCTGCCCTTATTAAAACCATGATATTTTTTTGAGTGCTGGTTATCCCATTTTTTTATTATTCTTTAGAACCAGGCACCCATGTACTCTTCTCCCTTTTTTTAAGGAAATTTGAGTTGTGTGCACTGAAAGTTTTTCTTATTGATTTATTTTTTTGGGCCATATCGCCCAGCTCTTTATTACATAAACCAGTAGTTCCCAAACCTTTTGTCTTCCGACCCACAAAATATTCATGGCAAAAACTTGTGACCCCAAATATTACTGGTCTGAGTACACAAACTTCATTAATAACCCTAAAAACACAGGCTTTTTGACAGTCTAAACAGCTTGTACACAAATATACTTATCTATACGTATTTTGTGTTTTTTGTAATAATTACAGGGAAAATATTACATCAGCAATTATTTTATTACCCTTTAAATTGATTTCTGGAGATTATCCAAGGTGCTTCATGACCCATAAT